CAAATCCACCCATATATGGTAACAGGATTATCCATCAAATTGTACTTCTAGTTCAATGGTAGTGCATTATGTAGAAGCCCATCATCCTCTTTGGTACCCAGTATTAGATATAATTAAACGTTACAACAATTGTAATTCCCGAAGTATTACATATTTGATTTCTTGCTTATATAAAAGACAGGAAAATTCGAACCATAATACTAAAACTGTAAATCCATCGCGATAAACTTCTTCTTACAACATAGCTATTCATATGAAGCTGTCGCAAAATAACATCTAAAAAGTAACAGATTTTTCTTTCATGATTACCTTTGCTTTAGCTCAGGAGACTAGCTGAGGAATTTTGGCCAGCGATTCTTGAATCACTTCCTCTGAAAATGACAAATCAACAAGATCTCCCTGCAGATACTTCTCATAAGCTGGCAAATCAAAATGACCATGTCCACACATTGCCATGAGAATGACTTTTGATTCTCCAGTCTCTCTGCACCGAAGAGCTTCTCTGATGGTGGCAGCTATGGCATGAGTTGGTTCAGGTGCTGGTATCAACCCCTCCGACCTAGCAAATCGTATGGCACCTGAAGAAACAAGAAAAGCAAAGGTATTAGCCAACAGCAAAGCCAAAAACCTTTTAGAGGAACAGCAATTTTAGAAGGAAAATTTTCAATGGCGGTCACCAAACAAATAAACAAAGCACATGGATCGCCAATCAATTTTTCTGGGTTTATGTTTCCAAACATTCATTTTCCTTGCACATTGATTCTTACAAGATGGAAACTGATAAGTGTGTTTTTATACACTTATTAAGCACTTTCACGAGCTATTTATTGAAGAAATTGAGTGGATTCCTATTCATAATTGTGTAATTATCGTGTTTGTAGGCCAAAATTCCAAGTNGAAGAAATTGAGTAGATTCCTATTCTTATTTGTGTAATTATGGTGTTTGGAGGCCAAAATTCCAAGTTGGTGGATAAATGAGCTAAAGGAAGGAAAAGAGGACCAAAAGTGCACAAAAACATGACTTTGGGGACCAAGATGTACAAGTGCCGAAATTTGAGGACCGAGGCTGCAATTTTCACTAGGTTTTGTTTTAAAAACCTGATTTAGGGGCAGATTGAGGAAATTTTTCCTTTTTTCATTTTTTGCTTTCTCCTNCTAATGGAATTTTAAAACGTGAATGTGCAGTGCGACCACCTGGTAATAATGAAGCTGCTACACCTGAAGAAGCCGTAGCCAATGCAATTAAATCCCAAATCCATAACCACAACTAAATTTTCTGGCAATCGCAGCACACCATAGCCAACATAAACAATAACAAGTGAAAATATGAGTAATTTTCATACTCTCTTACTGGCGCTTTATTTTGTTCTATTAATATCATAGACTCTATAATGCCTAAAATATTGGACAGCATCTAACCAAAACATCCAGTTCCAGGGAGAATTGAAGTTATATTCTGATA